ATAATCTTTACTTCAATTATCACACATAAGTCAGTTTTCACTAATGAGAACAGCATGCTTCATACACAAGTATTGCTTACACTGATACCACATGTGTCTTTTTTTCCTGTGTTTTGGTAGAACATACTTGACATCTTGCTGGTCTTGTTTTGTTATGAGGTTCTTGTGATTTTTTTACCTTTCTTTTCACCAGTCTGCTCCAGAATTCTTCTGTGGGTTTTTTAGGCAGATATATATTGTTTTTTCTCTGTTGTAATTAATCATTTGTCAGTTCCCATCTCCATCTTGCAAGAAAATTTCTCCATGATATGTTTTGATTTTTATTTTCTTTATAAGTTATGAAAATATTTATGTCTGACATGTTTAGGATCTAGCAAAACACAACCATTGAGCAATGCTTCATGTTTTGGGTGTCATCTTAGTTGCTGCATAACCCATCAAGAACATCTACTCCATCTTTCATTTTGTTGGAAAATGTGACCATTTCTGGCTTCATTTGTATTGAGTATTCACTATCACTCATTGTTTGTTTGTTTGTTTAGCTATTTGAAGCAGTCTTGGGCCTGGGATATAGCTCAGAGGCACAAGTGCCTACCTCGCAAGCACAAGGTCCTGAGTTTGACTACTGGTACCAAGAAAAAAAAAAAATCAAATGAAGCAGTCTTGCTACATAGTCCAGGCTAGCCTTGCACTCGTTATGTATCATGAGCTGACCTTGAACTCATCGTATCCTGCCTCAGCCTCCCAAGTGCTGGGATTACAGGTGTGCACCACAATGCCTGGTTTCACTATAGATCTTATCATCATGGTATAATGTTGACAGTATCAATATTACTTTGTTTTCTTTACCATGATAGAGTTCAGGCTAGCCCAGAACTCACTGTGTAATACATCCCAACCTTGAACTCACACGATCCTCCTACTTCTGCCTCCCATGTTCTGGGATTATAGCATGTACCACAATGCCTAGCTTCACTATCAATCTTATCATCATAGTGTAATGTTGACAGTAGCAATACTACTTTTCTTTTCTTCACCATATAGGAGGCTAATGTTATGTCTTTCTGAAGCCTAAAGATTGTACTATATATTTCTCTATTGTGAACTTGCAAAATTTTTTCCACTTAGTTCTTGTGAGTAACTCCTGTGCTGGTGAATTGAGTCTGTTGTTATTGTTTGTTTTTAGCTTTTTGTGCTTTTTTAGCAAACATATCATTGATGGGTAACTCATGAACCAACTGTGGAATGTGACATTTGGGTTACTTTTTGAAAGAGGTGCCACAAGCCTGCTCACAACATCATATGGTTTATTACTGCATGAGGAAGATTTGGTGGCTGATTTCCAGGACACATCTCTAAATTTAAGGTGTAAAATGCCTTCACACCTACCAGGGCATATATTTTTTTATCATATTTGGAAGAAAATTATTTGGAATATATTGCCAAAACCTTCAACAACCAAGAAACAATGTAAGTTGTTTGTCAATTCTCATGTATTCAGATAGTGTATAAATTGCCTGACAGTTTGAAACAAAGCTTTCAAGACATAAGCAAATACTAGCCAAATTGTCTTTTTTTTTCTTTTTTTCTCCTTTGGCAGGTCTAAATATAGGCAATTTTGAAAGAAACCAAGTCTCCTGAGCATCATGATTGTTCTAAAAATCTCAACTGCACATCGGTCACTTCTCCATAAATCATTTAGATCCTGACAACTAAAATGATAACATCTTGCTATGAAGGCTTTTAGTTCAGATAGGGAGATGTCATGATAAATATATTTTTGTGTATTACTCTTGATGCGTACAGCATGTTTTACGTTTATTTCATTTTCAGTGTGTTTCAACACATCTTGTTGAGATAAGAGATTAGGGCCTGGAAAAAGCTGGCTAGGAAAGAAGGTCTGACTTGTTAACTACAAGATCCCAGACATATTCATGCACAAAACAGTTTCCAAAACCCTGTACATAGTTCTCTATTCTTCTTGTACATAGTTCTTTTGTGACAATTTGAGCAGGCTTTCAATAGGATGACCTAGACCTGACATCAGCTTGAGGTATGGGATATCAGTACTGCCTCTTCGGACCCTGCTGTACAAGTTCTCATGAGTTTCTTCAAGATTTGGACAGTATAACAGAAAGGCAGCCATTAGGAACCACATTTGGAAGAAACCTATTATAGTTTTACAAGAGAACCCAAACTGTGTTTCCCAGATGTGCACTTTTATCTCTGCTCTTGTCATATTTTTCTATTTACTCAGCCCAACTCGCTCTGTGGGAGCATTTCTCTCCCACTCTTCACTTTTACATTCTTGAATAAACTTTGCCCCCGTTTTTTTGTTCATTTTGGTCAATTCTTTGTTCAAGACAAGGACCTAGAATCCAACTCCAGAAGGAGAGGCAAGTAACCCCAATCCTGGTAATGTTTACTTGGTGAACCACATTTTAGAAGCAAGCTGCCTGATAACATTGTGACATACAACCCATTACAAACAATTGCCAACACTGAATTGCAGTGTTGGCATTTCGTCTAACAGTTTTCACCCACGGCAAGAAACTAGTAACATTTTCTGCCCTAGTTGTAAGGTTGGATTGTTCAGATATACATGACCATTTTGAAGCATTCTGACTAGTCAAATTCTTATTTATATTACTGTTTTCTGCCTCATCTGTATTAAGGTCTTCATTCTGTACTTTTCTATCTGTCATATCTTGCTAACTTCTTCAGCTTACGTGATCCAAGTCATCATCAGTAGCTGAATCACATGATGACTGACTTTCAGCCTCCCCCCAAAGTTGTAAAAGCAGATTTTCATGTGACATTATACTAAACTGGGTTAACTGTATAAGAAAAATCAAAAGAAAACATGCAATAAGAAAGTATAGGGGCTGGAGATGTAGTTCAGTGGCACAGCGCCTGCCTGGCAAGCACAAAGTCCTGAGTTTGTTTCCCAGTACGAAACAAACAACCAACAACAATAGCAACAACAAAAACAACAAGTATAAATACACACAAATGTAACACAGCACCTAAGGTGGGTAAAACTCACCTATTTACAATTTGACACATGTGCACACCCTTTCCTGTTCATGATCCCAAGTGGGTGAACACAAAGATTCCTATTTTCCTTCAGTGCAGCTGCTGAAACACACAGCCAGGTACTGTTACGCTAGAGTACATATTTTCATTAGAAAAATATGGTCAGGATGTGTTTTACCGATGATGATGCCCTTTAAGAGAAGTGTTTTCCCACCTCTTAAATCTGACCTTGATCTGTGACTTGCTGTCATCATGAATGCCAAAGCAGCTGTGTTGCTGCATAACTTCTGGCCCTACACGACGAAAGGCCTTATGACTTTACTCTGGAAGCCAGTTTCCAGGTGAAAAATTCTGACTACTGTAAAGAGAGGCCATGGGGAGGAAGAGAGGTCCTGCAGGACAAAGGAGAAGTAGGAACTCAGTTGACAGCTGTTCCAGCCATCCCCAGGTGAGTCCCCAGGTGAGAATGCAATGATCTTGGACAAGTGCTATCCCCCACCCAGCCCCAGCCAAGCTGTCTGAGGCAACAATACATGGAACAGAAATGAGCCACTCTGGTCAGTCCTGCTTAAACTGCTGAAGCATAAGCAAATAAATGGTGATTTTTTTTTAAGACAGTAAGTTTTGCAGTACTTTGTTTCACACCAATAATCCAAAAGGACTAAATGAGATAGCAGTGTCATGAGACAGCAGCACCATGTGGCTCGCGGGTGTAGGTGCTGAGCACAGGATTATTCTCTTCGCATTCAGAAGTGGCCCTGGGTTGCGCTGCTGAGAGCAAGTTCTGTTACTCCGTATATAACAGAATTGACAGAACTGACTTCTATTCCATCAAAAATACATGCCAGTTACTACGCCTCTTATACTATAAAGGGACCCACTGAGCCTATACAGATTAAAGAGCAACCCCATTTCTTTAGCAGGGTGACCTCCCTTTGCTCAGGCTGAGCCCAGGCAACCTCAGAAAAAGGCTTGTAGTGAAACTAAAACCTTGGTGAATGGAGTAACGTCAGACAAGATGAATAGCGTTTCTTTTGACTAGTCCTCTAATCAACATGATCCCAGAGGCACAAGGAAGAAAGGAAAATTAACACTTGAGGGCTTACTATATATCTGGCATTGCTCATAACAGCTCCATGCGGTAGGTGTGACTTCCCCCACTTCTCAGATGAGGTCAGTGAGGCACAGGGAGGTTTGGCAGTTGTTAAGCTCCCTCATAAGTACTCAAATACTATATTGGCAACAGGATAATTATTAGCCTTTAGGATCAATATTCATGCAAAGAAAGATAAATAAAGAGCAGAGAAGGAAAGGAAAGCCAAGGAGACAAGATTTGATGGAGGAACATGCTGAACTATGATGCAGTCTTAATGACGATCACCACAGCCCTTGTCTATGGAGTTCTAAAGCTGAGACGCCTCTTCAGAGTTCTTCCCTCATGTATTCTTGTAGAGGACCAGGCCTCAGAGGCCTGCATGAATCAGTCACTGGATATCTAGTCTCCAATTTTAGACTGAAAATTATTTCATCTACCTCCTCCATCAAGCCATTTCCAAAGGGAGAAATGTTTAAAGAGAAAAATATGTTGGAAAAGTAGAAATAAATAGGCTCTGGAATCAGAAAAAAATTTAGCTTCAAATTTGTAACCTTCCTTTTCCTAGTTAATTCTGGGTAAGTTACTTCTCAGTTTGCTGTTTTTGAAAATTATAATAAGAACACTTAGCTTTTAAGACTGTCTGAAGAACCCAATACAGTCACTTGTATAAAGCATCTTGCATACTAACCTGGCACAGAGGAGGTACTGAGTACATGAAAGTTGTTATGATATTTTGGTAAGTTACTGCAGCATGATGAGAGGTTTCCTCATTTCTATGTTAGAATGAATAAAAGCAAAAGGCTATTCAAAATGGTATATGATATTACATCTTTTATATCATCCAGTACACAGTAGCACTCACTCAGCATTACTCCAATGCACAAATGTTTATTTAAAAAGATTTGTACAGACATACACTCAGTTTCAAAGAGCAGAGGAACCTTTTATATTATGAACACATATACTGTGACAACATAAAACTACAATTAAGGAAAGAAGGAAAAACATCTCCCTGCCCAAGCCAGGGGCCAAGACTTGGGACTAAAGTTTTTCAGTGTGTCCCCATCCTCATCCTTTAAATCCAACAATGACTTGAATAGGAGACCCAGCTTTGGTGAAGATGAGACCTGTGAAGCTTGGGGAGCTTGAAGTCTTTTAAACTGTTTATTTTTGAACTGTTGAGCACACTAATATCAGCCTGGGGTCCCTCTTAACGTAATGAAGCCCCTATAAATGAGCCCTAAACCCCAGTGTCTTAGGCAGTGAGCGAGGCAGGACTTGTGGAGTGAGTCCAGCTCCTTAATTTCTCTGTGGGAAACTTCTACAGATTAAAAAAGATTAGAAGTATGGGGGAAAGGTCTATAGATATCAGGATCCCCAGACACACACCCTACTACATAAGAACTTTAGTAAAACTGGGAGACTTGAATAGGGGGAGCTATTAAAAAGGTTTGTCTAAGCTATCTCTGGCCCTGAAGAATCAAGGTAGGGATGATTTCATATATATATATATATATATATATATATATATATATATAAAATCAGCCTGTTGGAAAGTCTAGGAAGATGGTTCTCCTTTCAGAGCCTAATGCAAAGATATAGGGAAGGAAAACACTGAAGCTTTTTTCTGGAACAATGTATCAGCTGCCCCCAGTCTGCACACCCCACATCTCTTAAGCTTCAGGTCTCAAACACAAGGGCCAGATATTTACATGTGGTTCTTTTGCCTTTCCTTCAGCTCCAAACAAGGGGAGAGGCTGAAACGTTTGTGGTAAAGAAGGGATAATCAGACATAGTTATCAGCACCTGAACAAGAAATCAGAATGAGAACCTCTTCCTCAACGAGAAATGCCAAATGCAGAAAGTGGAGCAAAGTGAAAGAGGCGTTTTGCTTTTATCACATTAAATAGAAGACTTGGTAGGGGTTGGAAAGGGTTTTTTCACATCAGGACATCAATCATTCTGGCCAAGAGGCAGAACCAAAGAGTTCCATGTGTTCCCCCTTTCTTCATTCATCCTGCTTCCGTTTGGGTTTCTTGGGGTTCCGGGACCGACTTTTGGCTTTGCACAAAGGGCATATGGGTGCGTTCCGGTGAATTTGCTGGTGGCATGACAAACAGGCCTGGTAGGAGCATGGGACAAAGAAAGTTAGTGATTACATTTTTCTAGGCCATGGCTCAGACTTCTGATTCTCGGGGGCCCTAAAAACAACTATGGTATCCAATAAAGAGAGAAGAGTAATTAGTAGGAGACTTAAGTAGAATTCAGTGCTCTTAGAGGCTGCTGAATACGAATGAAGTATATAACTGAGGTCATAGAGGGATGCCAAGAAAAAGTATGCAAAACTGATAAGTAAGGCAAAATGAGGACCACTTGTCAATTCAGCATTATACTGGACCATTGTCTAACAGTACCAGCCAGTATCAGGAAATCTTTCTGTAAAGGCCAAAATAGTAAATATTTTAGATATTTCACATTACCCAGTCTTGGTGGAGCTAATTTATTTCCGCATTCCTTTCTTTTATGGAACTCATCAGTTCCTGAGGCATTTTTAGAAGCTGCTTTGGAATCCTGCTTGCTCCCTCATTAATGACACATGCTCACTATATATGCCTACGAAAGCTATGTTTCTAATTTTTAGGACATTATACTTCAGCAGAGCCTGCCAAACTTCTGGCGTTCTATCTACTCTGGGAACGTGGGACCACAAAAATGAAAGACCCAGCATGGCACCCCTTTCTCTGTGCCTCAATCAAAGGCTGTTAAGGAAGATCCCAAAAGGCCAGACCCCGCGGACCTTCCATGGGAGGACACCTGGCTTCCCACACAACCCTTACCTAGCTCACATACCTTCATCGGTGGAGGTTGCTGCCTGAAGGTGGCTGTCTGCCGCGTGTCCTGCTTTCTAGCCACTTGGAGCTGTTGGGCAGCAGCGGCTGCAGCGGCCAGGGACTCAGGGATAGGTGGCTCCTGAGGCTCAGTCTGCCATTCTGCTTTCTGTTTCTCAAAGTAACTTTGGAGATGAGAGACACTGGCTGGATGATTCTGAAAGCAAGGAGAACTTTGCCCCTTTTTGAGATTTCATGCTAAGAACCAAGGGTTAGGCTACAGCTCACTTTAGAAAGTTCCTAAAGCCCACCCACTACAAGGTTCTTTTCCCTGAGTACCAAGGTCCATTATGTGCTAGGAACATTAACCTTCCTTTTCCTTGGCTCAGACCTAAAATGATCGAGAAATCTCAGAGCTAGCAAGGTTCTCAGGGCCATTTTGTCCTATCCTTCATCCCATGCTCATTTGTAGTATGCCTATTAAAGCGTACCCAGGTCTATATCTTTACATATTTCTAGGAGTAAGAAGCTGAACACTTCCACAGGCAATCTGGTGTACATTTAGGAAATGCTTCTTTCTATTGGGCTGAAATCTGTCTGCCTTTATTGTGAGCCAAGTTCTTAACTCTAGGTCACAAGATGAAGTCCCAGGTTCGCTCAAGGACACTATAAAAGCCAAACATATTGTGCTTTTAAAGTTTTCTGGACATCCTTTTGAGACCAGGACTTTAGAAGTGACCTTTTAAGAGTCATAGTCAGTCTTGCCAAAATCACAGAAAGAATTATGAAAGACATTTAGTAATTCTAGTTTAATCATCCTCCTTGTGGTGTAAGAGCCCAGGATAGAGACTTGACCAAGGTCATGAAATGATCCGGTTATTGACAGACCTAAGAGTAGGACTAGGTACCCTGAATTTCAGGCCAGGATTCATGCACATATACATGCCTCTGTGCGTATGGGAGGGGGTAGACAGAAGTCAGGCAGCTTACTCCAAAGAGAGCTTCTCCTCCTCTTCACACAGGTCCGGAAGCCTCTGCAAACCCAGAGTCATACGCAGAGCATCCACATGCTCCTTCAGGGGCTTATACTCATCATGTAGACGCCTTGTAGACTCTAGCAGCTTGTTTAGGTCATTCTCAGACTGTTTGATGGTGTTTTCCATCTGGAAAATAAAGTGTGGTAGGTACAGAGAAAAGATCCTAAAGTTCTTGAAGAGGTTTTAGAACTTAGTGGGTAATAACACAGGCTCCAGATCCAGGCCAATCTATGTTTAAGTCTTCATCCTACCATATACTCTGGTCAATTATGTTTCTTCATCTCTATAACGGTGACAGTTTAATGGTATATACCTCATGCAATCTTAGTGAAGATTCATTGGTCAAATTTATACAAAGCACTCCACATAGAGGCTAACAGACGAAAGGCTCATAAACAATACAGTCGAAATGTAACACACGAGTTGGAATGGTCTTTGTAATTCATTTAATTCACCCTACCACCATTTTACTGGTGAAAAAAGCAAAGCTCAGAGGTGAGGGGGCTTCTTCAGGAAAAATTTTCTAAAAACAAATACCCAAGACCTCTGTCACCTAGACAAGTGACCTTTTTCCAGATCAGTAGTTCTGAAAATGTAATTGCCACATCAGTAGCACAAGCAGCATTCAGGAACTCAGAAATGCAAATTCTCAGGCTCCAAACCAGACATATAAAACTAGAAACCCTGCTTCCCAATATCTATATTTTCATTTTCTGATATCCTCTTTGATCTACTGTAGTTTTCAGCATAAAGGTCTTTCACTTCCTGCATCAGATTGATTCTCAAGTATTTCACTTTTCCTGATGCTGTTATAACATGTTATTTCCCTAATTTTTCTCTCACTGAGTTTTGTTGTTTCTGTACAGAAATGTTATTTATTTTTGTTATCGCACAACACAGCCCTCTACTTTAATACCTCCAAAAGAAAGAAGCTTATCAGCTGAGCAATCAAATCATTTCCCATGTTCCAAGAGTTTCCAAAAGAGAGACTCCACTGGAGTTCTGCTTTCAGAAAGAGGCACAGGTGATTTGTTCAGTCTGGTTGGAAGCTTTGGAGCAACACTTTTACCTGTGCCCCTGAGACAGGTTCCTTGGTCTACTGTTCCCCAAGGCTATTATCTCTTACCTCACAGACTCTCAGAATGACAGCACATCATAGCTGAGTCCTTAGAGGTTACTGTATTCCTTTCATAGTGCTGAGGAAAAAAATGAGGCCCAGAGAGTAGGGACTTTCTCAGTGATATACAGTCAATTGGTGGCAAAGCTAAGGATGATCTCAAAACAAGATTCCTTCACTCTGCCATAGCCTGATGCCCGCTCCTCAAGGATACCCAAAGGCACATCTCAAGGAAAGGCTGGAGCACTCACTACAGCCTTTTTCTTAAGGGACCCATAAGTTCCAAGCAGGCAGCCACATACCACATTGATGTCAGCATGGATCAGTCGGAGTTCCTCCACATGGGCCATCTTCTCCTGTAACAGGAGGTCCATCTCCTGCTTGTATTCCTTCAGGTGCCGTTCCTCTGACTCAAGTGCCTCAAACTCAGCCTTCAGCCGGGCCTTGATCTTCTCCATCTGCAGGGTCTTGTTCCTGTAATTCCCCCAAAGCAGAAGGCAGGCCAGCAGAAGAGGGAAGAAAAATGGAAATGGAGAATAGAATTAAGCCCTGATTGAGGGCTTCCGTCCTAACTCATCTTTCTACCATTACTCCCTCTAGACAAAGCCATCCAGAAGCAATCCCATAGAAAGGTTAGGAGATGCTTTCTTCTAACAAAAAACCTCAGTAAATATCAAATGGGATTGATTTTGCTCCCTTGGTTCATTTGCAAATATGCGATGAGTTTTAGGTATGAGATTGATTCAAGGAAGCGCACTCAGTGGATGTGGGCCAGAGATGCTAATAGCCTCTCAAGGAACAGAAAAATCCCTATCAACAAAGAAATCTCATCTAAGATGTGAACAGTGACCTCTTCAGAAAGTCTACAGAAACATTTTTCATTTATTTATTTATTTACTTACTTATTTATTTATTTATTGTCTTTTTGAGACAGGGTCTCGCTATGCAGTTCGGGCTGGCCTTGAGCTCACTTTGTAGCCCAGGCTGGTCTCAAACTCGCAATGATCCTCCTGCCTCAGCCTCCCAAGAGCTGGGATTACAGGCATGTGCCACCACGCTTGGCGAGAAACATTTTTCAATACACTTTCTGTAGTGATAGAAATGTTTTGTATCTGTGCTTTCTAACACAGTAGCCCTACAATATAGAGCACTTAAAACAGTTCATGTAGTAGAGGAACTGGATTCTGAATTTAATTTTAATAAACCAAATTATCCATTTAAACACCACATGTGGCTAATTGCTCTCATACTATGCAGCACAGATCTAGAGTCTCAATTCATCAGTTCCCAAAGAGTAGTGGGAAAGAAATTGTTGGGGGTCATTCCTTCTCTTTTGTTTGTTTTGGTACCAGGAATCGAACTCAGGACCTTGTGCTTGCCAGGCAGGCACTTGTGCCACTGAGTTATATCCCCTATTCCTTTATTTAAATAATATTTATAGTGATTAAATTTCAATTATAGTCCCTCTGGTTTAGGAATCTCACACCTGGAAGTTTATTCTAAGGAAGTATTTCAAATAAACAAAAAGTTAATACACAGAGATGTGTTTTCTGGGCTATGGGCAAAACTACAATATTTGGCAGTCATTAGAGTGTTGCAACAGAAAAAATGTTGAAAAGTGTTACTCGATGAAAAAATATATGCATTAAGATGAAAAAGTATCTGCACTTAGATCGAAATTTCAAAATATGTATGCATGTGACTAAATAAGAAAAGGAACTAGAAAAATGTAGTTGCAAAGCCATTTAACACCATTTGAAGTCTACCTACAGAAAAGGGCTACAGTGTTTTGGAAAAAGGCCCCTCCTGAGGCATATTGTCCTTCCACTGGCCCCCTTACTCCTTCATTCTCAGGCCCTGCCTGGCCATATTCACCATACTCATATTTGGAATCTCTCTTTTTCTGCTTGGTAGTTAACCTTCTCCTCCAACCCAGCCTATGCAATGGATGCTCCAGCCCCACACCCTCGTCTTTGACCTCTGAATCAACTAGCTTCTGGTTTAGTCTCTTTCTTGCAGCACTTCCTGAGGCTCCTGCCTCAAGAGGGGTCCCTCAATGGCACAGGACAACTAAAAGAATTCTTTTAGGTGGGTAGAATTGTGGGCTTTCTCTCTCTGTACTCAGGATACCCTTTTCAGGTTATTTTATTGTCTTTGCTTTAGAAAATAGTAAAAGGATGCGTGTTAGTCCATTTGTAGAGAAGGAAATGGGGGTTTAGAATAGTAACTTTCCCAGGACCACAGAGCTAATAAATTGACTGTTGAGATTTGAATCTAGAAACCACTCACTTCTACACACTGCCTTTAACTGAGTTTACCAGACTGAAATGCATAAATACAACAAGTGTTCTTGGTATAGATGCTCAACTGTCTTGCAGAGGAATGATACTGGTTTATGTTGGTCAATTATATATTCAGATCTTCTCATACAAAGGTTTTTGTTCTCCTCTTCTAGGTCACATGTAGAACAATATCAAATTTGCCTTCCTCACCGTAATTTTACAGTAGGAAAAACTGAGATTGAGAGTGGTACAGTGTCTTACTCTAATTCATAAAACCAGATTACAGAGTTTTGGGGCCAGAGCCAATTTCTGCAAGCAGAGTCATATCTTGAAAATAACACAAACTTTAGATAATATATGGGTATAAATCCTGATTCTACACTTGACTATTTATTTGCCTTTGGACAATAATAACAACTCCAAATATATTTTAACTATAATTATCAAGCACTTACTATGTACCAAATACAGAAGGATAATGTATAAATTCATTCAACAGATATTTATTGAACACCTATCATATGCCAGGCACTGTACTAGATGTTAGGAATAGAGTAGAGAACAGGACAGTGTACAGATAAGAAGCTTCACCCGGTGAGGAAAACAGATCCTGAACGCATGGCTATATATATAAAAAAAATGAAGAAAGTAGGGAAGAGATACAGAGTACAATGAAAGGATTTAACAAAGTGCCCTAACAGTCTGAAAAATACTATAGAGTCATTGGGGTGGTCCAGAAAATGTTTCCACTGAACCTGTGGATGAGATATCTAAGCTGAAATCTGAAGAACAAGCTGGTGAGGGCAAACGGACACAGAAGAATACAGTCTATGTAGAGAGAATAGCATGAACAATGGCCCCAGAGAAGAAAATTGTGGCAAATAAAATGAATTAAACAAATAGCAGTATGGCTAGAAAATCTACTGCAAGGGGAAAGGGGGCCTAAGTAAAAGTGGGGAATTTGGCAAAATTCAGGACACAGCATGGCCACTGGCATGAGCTGAGATGAGTTACAAAATTCACCCTCACCAGAAGGGGGAAATGTTAGAACTATAACAAGCAGGAAAGTGACTTTATCTAATCATTTCATCTTACTTCACTCGGCCTTGGCATCTTTATCAATAACTCAGGCATAATCACAACTAATTTACATATTACGTGGTCAGGATTAAATAAGTTAACACATGTAAAGGCTCCAAAGCAGACTATGTGGCACCTAGAAAGCAGGTGAAAATGATAGTGCTTTTCCCTTCCAATTGTGTCCAACTGCGCTGTTATGCTTACCTTTTCTACCACAGTGGTTTGCACATTATAATAAGCTTACAACAAGTTAGATACGTGTGTGCATGTGTGCACATATGAGCACATATCCATGAATGTATGTACATGTCCCAGAGTAAGTAATCAGATATATGACTGGTTATTAAGATTAAAATAATAATCATCAGCATAAGCCACCCTATAATGCCAATGTAAATAATGCATACTGTGCCACACCTAGCATAGACTCACCACCATTGTTGTAAGGTATTTGAAGATGACATTAAATTGAGGACATTTTCTGGTTTCTTACAGATTTCATCCTAGACTAGATATGTGTTTAATCTAGTTAATGTTTTAACTGCATGGATTGTAATGATTAAGTTATTTTACTTCTTTAGCTTGATATTATAAGTAGCATTTGTTGATTTTTGAGTAATTCACTGGTCTTGTATCTCTAAATAAACACCATCTGGTCATGATGTATAATTATTTTAAAATATTGTTAAATTCTATTTCCTAATCTTTTCATAGAGACTTTCAGATCTATATTTATAGGATATCTGAGTCTGTAGTTTTCCTACACCAGTGATGGCAAATATTTTACAGCTTTTAATTATACAAATAGAACACTGTGGATACGTGCCATAGGTTCACCACCACTGTCCTATGCTGTCTTTAACAGAAGTTGGAGTCAGGGAAATACAGAACTCATAAAACAAAATAAGCAGCATTCTTTATACTGCTACTTTCTGGAAGAAATTGTATTTGTTGTTAGTTTTGTTTTAAACATTTGGAAGTATTCTCCAGTGAAACCATTTGGGTTCAAAGTTTTTATTTTTTTGTGAGCTGTCCAGTTATAAATTTAATTTCCTACATAGTTATATAGTATTAGTCAAATTATCTACAGACATTTACAGTCAATGCCTGACTTATGAATGAAATCCATTCCAGCAGAACATTCATAAGTCTGACAAAGTGAGTCTTATACACCTTTGACACAATTATGCAATATACAGTATAAAAAAACTAAACCTCCACATTATTACTGCTTTTCCTCTTGCTTCTGGACATCCTGGGCTCTGACTGAGCACTGAACTACTGTACACTATTGACTGTACAGTAAGCACATAGCAGGAAAACTGACATGCCCAGCGGACAGGTGAGCTGCTTCCACTATTTGTTCACAACTATGTAATGCGAGTTCCACTTGTATCTGTGAAAGTTCATAAATCTAATGCTCATAAGTCGAGGACTTATGGCATTTCATTTTATTGTATTTCCCTTTATTGTGCATCACAGATACTGAATACTTTAAAAACTGAAAATCTGAGGTGGAGGCAGAACCATCACAAAAAGAGAATTCTAAAGGAATTAAAATGGAGGAGCTTCTTTAAAAAACAGTGTGGCTGGGGATATAGCTTAGGGGCACAAGTGCCCGCCTGGCAAGTGCAAGGTACTGAGTTAGTGCCGGTACAAAAAAATAAATAAATAAATAAATAAAAATAGAAAACAACATGGGAATTTGTCAGAGCACCAACATGGTATTGTCCACAACCCTGAAAGCCCGCTCTAGAATATAGTATCATGAGCAACAAAAACATGTATGATGCAACTGGTAAACAATACGTTATTCACACTAGTAAAAAAGTGCAAACAATTAAATGCCCAGCAATTGATGAAGGGACAAAAAACCCCTAGTATAGCCATACAATGAATACTTTTTGGCAATAAAAGGAATGAAGTACTGATGAGTGCTGCATATGAGACAGACCTTGAAAACATGATGCTAAGTGAGAAATGGTAGAATCTCTGCTTTGCATCCATAAGACCTTGGGTTCAACCCCTAACATGGTGAAAACTTTTAAGAAATTAAGCTTTGTGGCAACCTGTGTCAAGCAAACCTATTGGCGCCATTTCTCAAGTAGTATA